GATTCTATGATTCTATGATTCTAAATCTGTTCATTACCCTGTACCACAGTTTCCCACTTGGCTACCATATACTAACATCCCTCTGACCTGATCTGAGATCTTTTCATAAAATGCATGGTAAAGGGCATCTGTAAATAACAATGTGTGACTAGTGGTCTGCACATAATCATTTTATCTTGTGAAAATAAATTATGAGAAATAATACAGATTATTTCAGCCAGATACGCTTCTTAATTATATTTATAATTTGACCACTTCATGCACATACAAAATACATCAAACTCATAATGAAAAGAAGCAGACAATGCCCCCCAAATATACAAAGAAGCATTTTAAATAACATTGTCTGTGTACAAGCACATTTGTGCGTATCCTTCCAAAATACATTGTCACCCTTTCTCTTCTTCCATGGATGTCACAGCACTCTTTGAACAAGACCTTGTAGTTCTGAATTTTCAGAGGCATTGCAGCCATGAAAGTTGTAAGGTGTGAGATAGAAATTTAAATTTTAAAAGGTAAATAAAAATTTAATGCAATTCTCCACACGTAACCACTAAAGGGATGGGGAGCTAAAAATACACACTCTCGTATTAAATCAGGAATCCTGATTTGCATATCACATGATTTCCACCTGAAATCTCAGAGTGAGACACAAAGTTGCATTTGTTCCATCAGGCTGAGAGGCTGTTACTCCTTTCTAATAGTCCATTAATGGTACATTTGGCACTAGATATTATCAAATGAATCAGAAAAAGTAAAATAGAACTCCCATTACTGTTGAAAAGAAGTGGACTCCATAATTCATCAGAAAAGGATTTCAGTGGTGTTTTAGCAGTTTTCCATCAAGGATACCAGCAAGCATTGTATAGGGGATTAAGTATAAATCAGGAGTGCTTGTTATGTGTATGTCCTCCCTGCCACAGCCTTTCCGTATAACTGTAAACAAACAGAAGATCCTAACTGCAACTAAGTTCCATTAAACTGTCATGGAAAAGTGAATTTATCCAGTCTCCTATATCAGATCAAATTTAGCAACTGTGTGAATCCATGCAAAGCTGCGCACGGTGTCCAGTCCCATCTCTTAGACAGGCATTCTAGCTAAACAAAGTGCAAACCCTCAGATAAATTGATTTCCTTAACACAACTGGCTGACAGAAAGATTTATCTGCTGTTATACCAATACAAGCTGAAACCCTGTTTTCCTCATACTCCTGTTGCTGACAGTGCACCCATGGGCTCCTTTTAAAGACCGGGCCAGTCTCTTTTCCCAGAGGAGCACAGCAAACCTCGCTGCTCCTGCCAGCAACTGCGAGATCCTCTCACACCCAGCCTGTTTGGAAAACACTGGGTTAGCATTGATTGCTGCATTTAGTAACACAGCAAACCTAGCAAATCTCTCTTACCCAGGCTGCTAATTCCCACTAAGTCTAAATTCTCTTTCCTGATTAGAAGTTGAAGCTCAACATGAACCTCTTTGTGGCTGGTGAATCCCTTGTATATTTTCTTGGTGACATAAAAATCTGTATCAGCTTGGCTGTTTCACCTATTGACATCATGTTCTCATTTCAGGAGTTAAGTCATTTGTGGCTAATTTGTGTTTATAACTTCCCTATACTTTTTTTTTAATTTCCAATTTAAAAAAAAATCCAATTCATATTGTAATATCAGATTTCTCAAGTAGTGAAATGCTAATTTTTATGCGTTTTCTGCATCTGGTTTCTTGTACTAAAAGAAAGATATTTCTTCTTTTTTTTTTAAGTAAGTCTTGAAAGACCGAAATTGTAAGTGACTTAGTTCTTTGATCTCCTCTCCTGGTATCACTCACAAGAGCAGCAAAGCAGCCCTTTTAACCAGAGATCACATATCAGGAAAAGATTTACCTGGAGCAGACCCTGAAACTATAGAAACACAGCTGCATAATGCTGTTTTTTTTTTTAAATCTACATCCTAACTTTTTATGACGGCATTTTACCTCAAAAGCACGTTAACAACATAAAGCATTACTTACTTTAAATGCTGTCTTTCCAGCATAAATGACTTCCAACACTGCCTTCTAAATCTGTGGATTTAGCACATGGAGACTAGAAGTGTGTGCTGAAAAACAAACCAGCTGTGGGTCTGGGTAATACTTCTCTGCTATACACATTTCTTTTGAAAATAGATGATAATATCGGATTTTGCTTTGTTTTGCCACAAGAGGGCACTCCTTTAATTCGTGTCATTACTAAGGCAATGTCCATTACTAGAAATGATAGACTCGTTTTCTGTCTAAACCATTATTCCAATTTTTTGTACAGATAAGTTGAAGAATTTAATTCTGTTTGTGTTCTCAGCATGCATTTGACTTACATCAAGTTACTAGGCAATATTATTTAGCCGTGAGAGCACACTGCACTTCATAAATGACTGATAAGACAAAAAATGGTGGGAAGTAAATAGGATTTCGCTTCATTATCTTTAGAAATAGCAGTACACTGTATTAACACAACTCATTGTTCTCAGTGATAAACTCAGACAGGTCACAATCAAAAGGAAAGATCTTATGTGCCACTTTCAGAAGCATGAGAAATTTGTGAAACGAAGAAAAGATATGTGTTGTATTTTTCATCCGCTTGTGAATGCTTAGCTATTTGAATTTGCTTAAATATGCCATCATATGCAGCAATATACAGCGCAAGCATGGTCCACACAGGAAACTGATTCAAGCACTCAAAGTCTGAAGATTGTCACATCCTCCCTAATGCAAAACTCTGATTGCATTGACCTACTTAGAATCAGATAGTTAAGAAGATTTTGTTTAAAATGTTTCTAAACAGTCATCACGAGTGTACAGTATAACTTACCATAGCATTTTTGTTTTCAGTCCCAATATTTTTTATATATAAACCTGTGTCATTTACCAAAACCAAGACTGATTTCTCCCTCTTACTTAAGTCCAAATAAAATTTCAACCAGAAACAGTAGATGGATTTTTGTCCATCAGGAGTCAGCTATGTTCCTGGGCAACCGGTAATGCTCTGGCCTGATCCTTGCCTTCTTCTCCTGAGGGTTGGCATACTTCCACTTGGATGGAGACATTTTCAGCTTTTTTCTTTTCTTATCTGTACACCACACTTTTTCACAGTATTCCTCCACCCTCTGGAAGTTGCTGTAACCTATTAGTTGAAGAAATTCCTTGTACCATGGCTTTGATGCCTGAGGTATACTGCTCTGCATTGGGCATGGCATTTTGTGAGGTATCTCCTCCTCATAGTCTTTATTGAACATTTCATCTACACGTTCTTCCTCCACTATTTCCAGGGTGATTTTTCTGACAGTGTGAACAATGCTGTGTTCCACTGTCTGACAAAAATACATCCCTGCATCCAGCCGATGCAGCTTCAGGAATAAAAGGCCAAGGTCCATTTTAATTATTCTATCATCTGTCTTCACCTGAAAAATAAATTGACGCAGTTATAGAGCACAGGCCTTTATTATTACATTAAATCAGTGCAATAACTTCTGAAATATACCTTCATGAACATAATATTACATTTCAAGAGGAAGATTAGGGATTCGCTATCCTTTAATTCACAGTTTTTAAGTAAGAAAAATATTTACTTGAAGTAAAAAGTGGAACTGTGAAAGGAAAGCGATCTAGAGAGTCTGGCAAGCATGGTAGATCAGATAGTGGAGCAGATAGTTTCCTGTTTTCCCAGCATGGGTTAGTCACTTGTGGCTAAATCACAGAGGGAAATAAGGTTGAAACATGCAAATAAACAACTGGATGGAAAACAAATGGGCATTTGCCAGATGACCTGCTATAACTGTCCCTGTGAATGCTCTTATACATTGACAAATGTTTTTGAGGCGACACACATATAGATATTTTTATATCTAACTGCAGGACCATTGCGATCTTAAAGACTCAGTTCTGAGATTGGTGTTTGAGTTCCCCCAACAGCTCCTGAGAGCTAAGTTATTAACTACTATGCATTCGCAGATGCTAGCAAGCAGGGAGCACTGAGCTGTCTAATCCAGCCAGCAGAAGTGCCCAGGAGAATGGAATCTCCATCTAGTTAACAATAAGACGCTGAATATAAAGCAGAGGAGAATTACTGGGTGATGAATGGATTCAGAGCAGCCTTGCAGAGAAGGACCTGGGGATATCGGTGGATGAAAAAATGGACGTGAGCCAGCAATGTGCACTTGCAGCCCAGAAGGCCAACCGTATCCTGGGCTGCATCACAAGAAGCGTAGCCAGCAGGTCGAGGGAGGTGCTCTGGTGAGACCCGACCTGGAGTACTGCGTCCAGGTCTGGGGTCTCCAGTACAAAAAAGACATGGACCTGTTAGAGTGGGTCCAGACGAGGGCCACAAAAATGGTCAGAGAGCTGGAACACCTCTCCTATGAAGAAAGGCTGAGAGAGTTGGGGTTGCTCAACCCAGAGAAGAGAAGGCTTTGGGCAGACCTTATTGTGGGCTTTCAATCTATAAGGAGGGCTTATAAGAAAGATGGAGAAAGACTTTTTACCAGGGCCTGAAGTGATACTAAAAGAGGGTAGATTTAGATTGGATGTAAGGAAGAGATTCTTCTGTTTAGTGAGACACTGGAACAGGTTATGCAGAAAGGTTGTGGATGCCCCGTCACTGGAAGTGTTCAAGGTCAGGTTGGACAACCTGTTCGAGTGGAAGGTCTCTCTGACCACGGCAGGGGGATTGCACTAGATGATCTTTGAAGGTTCCTACCAACCCAAACTAGTCTGTGATTCTATGACTATATTATTCTACTTGTCTCTGCTTGTGATTGTCTTTTTCTAATGACTGTATAATTATTCATGAAAAATGGAATAATTTGCAGGGGGAAACATTAAAAAAAATTCATCATACTAGTATAAAGACACACTGGAAGGTTAAAGTCTGTTCAAATTGACCCTCCTGGTGTCCAGTATCTGAGCTACTGGGTCTAATGGGATGTGCATATAATAGGACATCCTCCCCTCCTAGTTCACTACTTTCTGTGAAAGACCTGATCAATAGTTCTATTGTAAGAATGATTATGCATAGATAGGGATTTTCCAGTTAAATACATGGGGCAATACCAAGTGTGAAAATCCATGCAGAGATTTGGGACTTGGACAAAACTTCAGGCAAAAATGTGCCTGAAGTGGGAATGGCATTCATCTTGCTTAATTTTAGATATTTAAAGCAGAGTGTGGCATCCTTGGTTATTTTTGTATTCAGTGATTTACTAGTCATTTTTTACCTGACCAGATGAAGCTGTCTAGTTAAGCGTGAGGTGATACCACTGGCTGTAACTGCAACACCATCTAGTCTGACTTTAAAGGCAGCCTACATTGACTAGCTCCTGGGTAGATCTCTTTTTTATAAATGTCCACGTTTACTGTCAGGTGAGTCCCACTCCAGAGATCTGCAGATGTCTATGGCTAAGCCATGTCTCACATTAGCAGCAGAGCCTAGCCACTAGGCAGTAAGGCAACCATCTCTATCTTTTGGTGGTCTGAGGCTTTTCTCCCAATGTCCTTCCACATACTAAGTGGGGATAGCTACACTGATGTGTATCAGAGAAATACGGAGGAATAAATATAGTAACACTTATGAAGCACTTTCATAATAGAGAAATATATGTAAAAGAGGCAGAGAATCCACCAACAGAAGGTTCCGTAATGTAATGGGTGAGGCAGCGAGAATGAATAGATGTTAAACTAGACTAACATTGGGAGTAACATGTAAACATTTCACCTCTGCAATAATATATCAAGAGAAGTGTTGGATTCTCTTGTGTTTTGAGATCTTAAATCAAGTTTCTCTACATTTCTAACATCTGCATTCAAGATTCTGAATGCAAACACCAGGTGAAATTCTCAGGTCTATTAATTCAAGAGAGCAGATGAACATTATGATTTTCCCTTACACCCATGTACATTTCAGCAACTGATGACAGGCCTTTCAGTGAAGATGTAGAATTCCTAAGCATGGGCTCTTTTAGTTAAAAGATTAGGCTATAAGAATATTTACCTCTTCTTTTCTAGCTTCATGCGCTCGCTGGACAAACCAGATTACTTTCGCTTGTAAGGTCCGAGGGATGCACTCCAGAAGGGTGCTATTGTACTCTATTCCATAAACAAGTCGCTCCTCAGTCTTCTCCAGGACTTCACCTGGAAGGAAAAGAAATGTTTTAAAAATATGGGCCCAATACTTGTAACACTCCGTATTCAGGGTATATTTACTTTTAAGAATAAAGTTTAATTCAGATCCAAACAGATAGTGACTGAAAAGTAGTGTCTGCTGAAGGTCTGACCTACTAAGTGAATTTTCCTATCATCTCAGGATCTGGCCATAAGACAAACGGACCAAATTGTGCCATGATTCAGCTAAGGTCATACACAGAGAAACAGATCTCAGACTTTCACACTGCTAATTGCTTGTGTCTTGTTCTTATGAATAGTTCATCTATTTCATTTTCACTCAGTGAAACAGGAGGATTCAATACGTGCTTAAATATAATAAATAATTAAATATTTTTAGGGATAAAAATGAGATCACATAGCCTTTTGCAGAATGAAACACTTAAAAACTATAAATACCCTAACCAGTATTATACATATCCATTTTATACACATGTAAAATAAACATATGGTTTTGGCCCAAGGGTGCTAATAAAAACAAGGTGAATGACATGAATCAAAACTCAATTTTGCTTTTCCATCCATTAAAACATCTGGAGGAAGATAAGCTAGATGTTATACTGGAGGAGACCAGTTGCCTCATTAATGAAATCATCTTATTCCACAGTAGTGAGAAATATTCTTGAGACCAATCAGTTTTATACCCTAAAAATTACGAGGTTTGATGTAATTGTGATTTCTCTGTTGTATTTCATATTGGAATATACTTTTCCAAAATCTACTATATCGCCCAATGGACTCCAATTTTAATGAAGCTTTCTCTGGTAAAATATCTATCTAATATTTAATATCTAAAATATGTTTCCTCTGACCATTTATCTAAAAGAACCTTTTTATATATTTTTTTTTTCTTCTATAAATGTATTGGGTGTTATCCTGCAAAATATTGAGGATTTCCAGGCAACTGTTTTCTCTCTGTTTTGCCATTCCTAATATCAATGTTTGAAATCATCACCTTCCAAGGTTTAGACAACAGCATTAGACACAGTAATCTATCTTTTTTTAGGACAAATCTTGATAATGATCATAAATACACATTAGTGTTCTGACATGTCATTGCCCATGTATGTGTTAGGGAGCTCCTTCAATTCCCACCTCTGGCTGAGTGTCCTGGCAGCATTTCATATTCAGATGCAGCCCTGTTGTTTCTTATCCCTGCCCCATCTTTCCTGTTGCGTTTCTGTTGGAAGCTCTTGAGATGCATTAGCCACATCCCTAGTCTGAATGACAGGGCTGCAGGACTGCATAAATACTATGGGATGCATCTGACCTGCTATCGAAACAAAATCATTCTTAGACCTGGATGACATGGGCTTATCCCCATGACTCTTATAACTTGTTAGAGGAATATGCCAGTAAAAAAAGCTCAGGTGAGATCATGGTCTGGCTCATACTTTTGGCAAAGTCTGTGCTCTCTGCTCCAGGCATTTGCTAGCAATTTCTAAACGTGTGAGTAGATTACCAATGAACTGCTGGCCAAAGCACTGCTGCGCTGCATTTCCATGTCGAACATCTTGTCTGCGGAAACGTCTGGAGGGGAAAAAATGGAATTGTTTGAGATAACATGTTTAGCTTACAGATCGTTTGGTTTATGCTAAAGTGGCATTCATTAAAAACATAAGGAGCTAAATCTTGATTCCTAAAAATTTAGCATTGTTCTGAGAAGTACTCATTTATGCATCGGTATTTTCTCCCTACTTACATGTCTGAAAAAAAGAAACACACTTGTCTAGGGAAGAGGCACAACTACGTGTCCAGTTTATATGTAACTACACTGATGCTATAAATACTAAAACAAGATCCTCTGAACCAACTGGGCAACATTCAGTTCTAAGAAGAGTCAAAGGGACCTTTAGCCTGTCTTTTGGTTCTCTCTCTCTGAAAGCCAAGGAAATTTTCCTTTTTTAGTTTAGAACATTTTACCATGTATGTGAATGGTAGTTCTTTTATCCTTCACTCTCATGTTATTTTTTTCACTTGGGAATCTCAAAGCGCAGAGCAAATACTTTATTACATCTGTGTAGCAGACAGTTGTTAAGCCCATTTTTCTCAACAGGGAAACAGACACGTTCATGACTTGCCCGTGCCTAGAAAGTGAGCTGGTGGCAGAACTGTGGTCAGAACCTGGGAGCCCCAGCTGCAACCTGGAAATAATGCAATTGATTTTGAGAGAAAAATTGTTGTGAGTTTTTAGCTTTATGTTTTTTATACACATTTACAGAAAAATAATGGAAACCATAACTGGACAGTGCATTCCCAGAAGAATTGTGCTTTTATATGGCAATTTTATTCTCTGAGTGTCCTGATAAATAAAATTAAGATTGCTTATGAAAGAACCTATTGGAATGTCATATCTTGCCAGATGTAGTATTTCCAACAACCTGACATTTAGTTATACTAAGGATACCTTTCCTATATTTGCATAAAAACTAATTTTGCACAGTATTACCAATGCCATACATAACAGATTAAAAGAAATATGCAATGCAGCAAATCTTACACAGCAGGTATGTGTACAGTATATATGATATATAATAGAAACAAGCAAAGCCAAGCAGTTTTGTTATTCTCTGCATTTACTACTTAAATAATGCTTTTCTCCCATGCTATGTGAACATGAAAGGCAGAATTTTTATTTGGCACAAATTGAATTTACTGAAACTATGTAGATTTACACTATTGAAAGATCTTGCCCATGGATGTTACTCATCGTATTTCTAAACTGGCAGTAGACAGGGATTATTTTCTGACTTCTGTCACCCGTATGGACTTCTGATCTGGTGGTGCTGGTGGATCAGAAGGACAGCTTTAACCTTTACTGATATTCAGAGCAGAACCAATGTTTTGCCATTGTTGTTTCAGGGGAATCTGCAAATTCAACGTTGGGCCTTTTTGGCAGAAGCGCTAAAAATACATGCGTATTATTAAACAAAAACTAAGATTCTGAGATAGCAACAGGACTTCGTCATGCCCTGGGAGTTCTCATTGTAATGTATAGATGCTGCAGCCATGCTTACTGATAACTCTGCAAAGTGTCAGTGCTGAATGATGCTGCCACCAGCTTTGCATATCTGGGTATACAGATTATTCAGAAGAGACATTCTCTTGCACAAATATACATAAACACTATAGACATTAGCCTTGAAAAAACAAACAAGAAACCCCCGCTGCTGTCAGGCCCAGCAGCCCTATCTAGCAGGAACAGGACAGTTAGCAGGCATGTACTATTTGCCCTTCAGTTCCTGAAGATCATTGTAGAGCTAAAAAAATTCTAGTCCTGTAAGATAGGATATTTCTCCAGTTGTTAGAACCATTCAAGAAAAGAAATGTTAGTTTGCTGGAATTTTACTGTTGTGAGTGTGAAGACTGGGGAAGATACATTTACCAGTGCCTTCACTTGCTACTTTTTTGAAGAGAAGTAAATAATGGGGAGAGGTGCTGAAAAAAAGAAAGATGCTGGGACATAGATAAACTTATTTCACAAATAGTGACATAAGCCTGGTATTTGTTATTTTTTCTTAGTAATCATTTCATTGAGAATTCCATGAATAATAGAGTACCAGACAATTCCTGAGATAAACTACTATAAGGAACAATTTTCAGTGACTAACAAATGTACCGAATATACGGAAGTGTCTTTTGCAATCTATAACTTCATGAATTTAGATTTCAGTCTGCGACTGTGTTTTCAGGAACTTAGTAAAAATGATCTGCAAGAAAGCAATACAGTCATCATCATCACCACCAACTTCATGTTTCTTTATTTTTTCCCAGGGATAGGTGAGGTGGAGTCGAAAAGTCTCAGGGAGAAAAGGCATCGCTCCAGTTTGCGTAAGTAAATGAGCAGACTGCGTTTGGTGTTGCCGAACCAGCTGTTTCGGCAGGGTGATGCCCGGGGCAGCTGCAAGGTGAGGTGGCCCCTCAGCCGCCCCTTCAGCTCCACCGCCCCCCTCCAGCCTGGGCACCCGACCGTGGGCAGGCAGCGGGGAGGGCCAGGAGGCCTGGGGAGGGTAGAAAACATAGATTTGGGAAAAAAAACCCATCTGTTCAGAGCTCCCTTGCTAACCATAAGAGACGAAGCATGTGTTTGCATGTTTGCGGGTGGAAAAGGGGGCTAGAGAGCGAGAGGAGGCAGGAGGGCGACTGTCAGCTTCTTAAAATTAGGGGCTAGAGAGCGAAAGGAGTCAGGAGGGCGACTGTCAGCTTCTTAAAATTAGCTAAAGAATCACAGGTTACCAGACCCACCCAAGCTGAAAGATTTTAAAATTACTTCAGCCCTTTTTCAGCCTGGATGGTGAGCTGGCGCAGCAACGATTCTCACCTGTAGAATTTAGTGCTTGTTTAGATAAAAATTGAACCTGCCTAAATCAGATTGCAGAGGTAATAGTGAACTAAAGCATTGAAGTCCTGGACCTCTCTGCTTTCTCAAGTGCACTTCATGGAAGTTGAATGCGATATAATTTCCTTCTGGCTTCTTAAGCAGTGTGCAGGTGCCATACATCTGTAACTACCATGACACTGTAGTGTGCTGCATTACCAGCATCAAGATATGAGATTTTGGGCTCAGTTTTTATTTGTCCTTAATTGAATCCTATATCTAATTAATTATCCAGGCTATGCATTTACAAGGAATTATAATATAGGCTTTCACAATTCAACAAATTAGTACCAGCTGTCAAGCAGAGGGTTTTTTTTGTATTTATGCTGCAGTTCTCTCTATACCCTGTACATCTCTTAGTTTACAGTTTTTCTACTTCATGTTTCTCTAAAAACTTGTCATACCTTGGAGGCATTAGGATCTAAAGCAAAGAGCATTTGAATCAAAGTGGGGAGGACACATTGTACATCCCTGCTTCAGTTCAACTCTTCACCAGTAGGACTGGAATTAAAAAGAGAGCTCTTAGCAGTGCTCTTATGGCACTAGCAGGGCTGCTCTTACAAGTCAAAAGCCCACCTAACTGTACTGTATGAGGGCCACATTTGAGCAGATAGCGGTGGTATTCAAGCCAGCTTAAGTGTGCTGTAATGTAAGGCACAGCTCTGTAAGTCCTGATGAAGTGAGGGCTGCCAGGAACGGGGGGAACAAGTGCTCTCCAGTGCCCCTTGGACTCACACTACTTGTACTACCCTGTGCAGCTTGAGCAGAAATCTGGAGCCCTGAAACATGGCCAAATCAAGATGTGTATGCTCTGGGACATAGTGTTAGTTGTATCTGGAGCCCAGGGCAGCTATGGCAGGGGTGTTGCCTGCTCAGGGTCACTTGGTATCAGAAAACTCCATGTTGTCTACAAGACCTGCCTTTTCCGGCAGTGGTCTCCACCTGGTATCCAGCGGGATGCAACTTAAAACAACTTCCATACACACGTCCTGAGTAGCTCTCCCTGCCTCTCCATGTACCACAGAGTTAGTGTAAGCTCATAAATTTAAAATGCTCTGAGCTTCAGCTATGAGCTAAAGTGAACAAAGCAAATGCCATCCATCCCTCTCAACATTGTTAGTTCTTGCTGGCTGTTCCCCAAACTCGTATATGTAAAACAAGTTTTGCAGACTTCAAGAACATTCAATTGAGTGCAAATCCCTTCTCCACTGATGCAGTGCTTATCTTAAGAGAAGGAAGGTGATAACAGCAGTATTTGCTTCTTTTAGAGACTGACCTGCTAAATGTTGGCAGGTAAGGCACAGGAGGGTGCCTGGGGTGCTGCCCATATCACTCAACCCTGGATAAATGCATGTGTCAGGGGACTTAAGGGCTGCTACTCTGGAAATTGTCTTAGGTGACAAATATGCTAAAAATGTACAACAGAGTTCAGGACCGAGTGAGTCTCTCTTATTTCTCTTATTTTTTCTTAGACAATAAGCCTGTAGAACAAGGTAAATACTGATACAGTCCTAGCAGGCTACTGGGAAATTTTTTAACCCCCCCTTCCCCAAATGACTTTTACATCATTAGATGAGTAACCCATATGCTTTATAATTATGGTGATCCAATTTCTCTTATACTGTAGGAAATTAAACTCCATGGCCCACTATATAGCTGCTCATCTTTCTTAATCTGGGGCCTGAAAATTTTAGCCAGACTCTTCTCACATTGAGCAGACAACCAGAGGCCACTTCCTCCCTTGGTCTGCTTGCAAGAGGCATAAGACGACTATGCAATCCTGCTTGTAGAAGTGGTGTAGATTTCTTACTTTGTCTAACGCATGCCTTAGTGTAATAAGTCCAAAAGATTCTTAATTATGCTGAGTCATTGGCTGTATTTCTCATTTTTACATTTTAATGTGCCCTACCCAAAAGGTTGGGTTACCCAATGCTTTCTCTGTTTATTATCTTTTAGAAAAATCCAGAGAAATGTCTGTTGTGCCTGACTATAGCCAGCAGTGCATTTGTTTAAGTGCATCAGGGTTCATGGAAAGATAAGGTGTGCAGGATAAGGAAAAAAAAAAACAAAACCTTCCTGTTTCTCCTTAAGAAACAATAATCCATTTGGGATACTGCGACTTGGTTTTGACGAAACCATCTCCACTGGTTTTCAAAACTGTTTTCAGAAGTTGCTCAATTCATTCTAATCCTTGCAGTCCTTGTTGGTCTAATATATTCAAGCATATATTTGCAGAAACAGTAATTGTAAAAAAGCCACAGAAAGGATTTGAATTAAACATTATGAAAGTTTTGCTGACTAAGGCTAGAAATTACTCTCTCTAGTGGCAAAGCTGACTCAAAGTCTTGTGAAAAGGTCTGGATTAAGATATGCATGTTCTAGATCAAGTATCTGTGTAGCTGGATTGGAGAACCTGGGTTTGAGAGGGAAGAGAAGAGGACAGGTATGTGGGAAATTACTGTGCAAAAGTGTGAAGGCCAAGAGCCATGAATAAGTGAATGGTGATAGAGAGGAAAGGTCTTCCCAAGGGAAGAATTACAGCACCCAAATTTGGTTTGTGCTTTGAACTAGCCTCAAGGGTAACTTATTTTTATAAATTCACTGGAGAAAACCTAAGCCTAACCTTAGCTTTTCCAGATACTCTGGTTTCATTTTGGCTGGTGAAGGTATTTGACTGTTAACACAGATTCTTCTTTGCTTTTTTTGGAAATTCTGTTGTATATGTTATCGTAGTGTGATATATTTGCTGTATAATACTACCAAAATAGGTCTCTGATGTTGTAAAGAATCTTTCCTCTGCACACCAAAAGATGTATAAGAAATGGAGGTTTCTTTAAAACTTACTGCAAATAATTACTAAGTGACTTTGCTTCATTCACAGAAATATTCCTGGTACTGCAGTTTATGCCATCCTGTTTTGCAATCCCCTAAGGTTGTGCTAATAAATTAGCAGCTAACATATGTTCTTAGTGCTCAGTTATTTTTATGAAGGGGAGATATGAAGTACTTTCTGTTGCAGTAGAAACTCTGCAGTAGTAGCTATTTTGCAAAAAGGATATCACAGAAAGCAGCAGTTCTCACCTCTTTGCCTGCATTCCTGTGGGGTAGTATCGGGAGCAGGAGATCCCATCCCAAGCGCAGTACGGATCTCGAGCGAGGCAGCAGTCCGCACAGGCGGTGCCGTACATGTCACACTGGTGGAACTTCACTTGCACTATGACCGACTCAGATCCAACATAGAGCTGTTGCTGGCAAAAAATACACCACGTACGATTAAATTCCTAGAACTTCCGCTAAAACTTCTGTTACCAATAGAATTATTAAAAAATGTTAGCTTTAGCATTGCTTGCCAGTTGTGCATCCAGCCTGTGCCCTGAGGGAGGCAGAGTTACTCCGTGGGAAAATATCTGATTACAGACTAAACTCTCCTGCATGAGGACAGAGGAGAGAAAGAAGATAAAAAGAACAAGTTTATTTTGGCATTTCCTCACTTCTGAAGTTTCAGCTTTATAAGCTTTGTGTTTGAATAGGCAGGGTTTTAAGTTTCTTTTTCTTCCTCAAGATAGTTTCCAATGCCTCCCTCTCTACCTTCTCTGTCACCTAACTGATCTGTGAAAAAAAACTTGACATGAAAGACTTTAAACAAAGAAGTTCAAATTTGCAAAAGTTATAAACAACCTCAATCTAAAATGAGAGTTATCAAGTAAATTTAACTCTTGATGTGGCTCCTTACAATATGGTCACACACACACAGTAGTACGATGATTTGTATTATCCCTTAGTGTACAGGAGATAGATTTTTTTCCTGGAACTGTGCAGTCTTTCCTTACAAAGTAACTGGTCACAATCTACTTCTTCAATATTTATTTGTAGGGGTTTGGGGTTTTTTTCAGCATTAGTGCTAAGACTGTTTGAATCTTCTGAGTTCACATAAATGTCCTTTTCAAATCAAGTGAAAGATGATCAGTCTGATTCATGAATTGCTGGCATAATAAATTCAGAAGAGAATAGATTGAATTTACAGGGATTTGAGAAAAAAATCTTGTTGCTGGTGAATGCTGGTGGATATTGCACATAAATATGCAGTGTGCACTGCAATAGGAACTCCTTATGCACAGCTCACTTCCATGGTTTTACCAGTCAGAAAAAGGATTCCTAATGAACACTTAAGCTGTGCTTATCCTAATGGCCAAACTTAGTCCATAATTCCCACTCTTAGACCAAGCTTTCAAAATTGGATATTTTAAAATTCTTAAAGCTGGAAAATACAGGCAGCTCATTTAGTCTGGCTTGCCTATCACAAAACATGAAATTTAAAACTGGAAGAGGTGGTAACAGTAATGCTTGAAGACTTTTTCAGCTGAGGTAAACCAGATGATAGTAACAGGAACACAGTCAGCCAGCTGGAATGAAGAAGAAACCTAGGATCCTTGTTTGAGGGGAATTCTTTCTTGTCTGCAAAGGCTGCAGTGTGATTGTCCCAGAAGACATGAACAACACTCAATGAGACATACGAGATGGGATTTTCTCTTTTATCTTTTAGCCAGGGTAAAGACTACTCTTAGTCTTCGTTCATCAGAGGAGGGCAAAAAGCATCCGATATCTAGCCAACAGAACATCAAAGAACAACATTCCTTCCCAGCCTTTGCAGATAACTAGCTAAGCCCTGAAACATAGTATTTTATTGTACCACTGACTTAGTGAAGACTGGTTAGTGTTATAAGGATATTGAGACAAACCTAGCAAGGAGGTCTCCACAGGCTCACAAACTCCAAGGTCAAAAGAGACCAGCCAAAATGCTCAAGCAGAGAAGCTATGTGACTTTTTTCACATACACTCAATTAAGTTATACTTCTGCTTACAGATGTCATTTTAAAGACAAAATGACGTGGTGACAACCCTGTCCCTAACATGTATTGCAACATTAATTGTCCTTAGTACCAGAAAACTGCATCCTATTTCAAGATTAAGTTTATCTACATTCATCAAGCTGAACTTGGTTATTTAATCTTGATATTGCTTTGCCATCAATGTTCAAGAATCCCTATACACATACACTAGGAATTCACTTCGTTGGATCAAATTTTATATCTGGCTATCCTGTTTTTTCTTAGTCTTTTCTCTGGTATCTTGAAAAAGTTAAGCTACTTTTACTTCTCACAAGAAGGTTTATTCTTCAACTGCTAGATTGCTTTGGGAGCTTTTTTACAATTCTCTCCAGATTTTCCAGATACTTCTTGAATTAATAAAGTTAGCAGCCCTCATGGGAGCTGGATGTAATGGAGAAAGACTACTTCACTTTTATACAGTATCTCCTTTTTGCTCTTCTAACACAACCCTTTTACCATGACATTTCACTGAGAGCTAAAGGTAAAAGGCAAATATCTGAAATGACACCGAAGTCTTTCTCCAAATAATCACTTAGGTGCAGTTGTCCAAAAAGCAGATTCGTGCCCAGCGTGCAAGTAACTAATTCCACACGCTCAGGAAAGATACTGTTTTATTCAGGCCTGGGTGCTTGGTGGACTTGCCACAAATCAAGCACACCTGGTCTAATAATCTTTTTGTTTATATCCATGCTTCTCATACATATTTTAAATTTCTCTTTTACATATTCATTAAATTTCCGGGAACTAATTATAATATTACGTCATCCTAGTCACATGCTCACTAAAGCCTTTAGGGTCTTCTTGAGGGTCTCGGGTGGTCTCTGGTGGTCGGCAGGGTACTGAACTCTTCGTGAACTTGTTTCTTTCTTTCCTTATAAGGTCGAGGTTTGTCTCTGAGCCACGTCTGGACCACATTTGTTTATGGTTCTCGTTTCCAAGGTTAATCTTCACTAGAATCTAACCCATGCTTCTAGGATACACAGTTTATACTAGTTACAATTCCACACACTTACAAACACAATACCTGTTAGTTACCTAACTTCTAAGCAACAAATCTTCATTGCTTAAAATTACAGAAGCGAGCAACATAGAATAATAGGTACTGTAACAAACTGTATCTACTACATCACAATGTTAGACAATCCAGAGCTGCTTTCACATGGAAAAAAATTAGATTGATCCAGGAAATAATTCAGAATACTTACACCTAAGATCCTCCTCTGAATCACCATCAGAGGAGTTTGTCTTTTCTCAAAAGAATGCAAGTTGACTGGACACCAAGACTAAAATGATCTTTTGAGGCACACTAACACCACGTAGTAATGCAATTTTAATTCTTTGTTACTTGTGTTTCACTATGTTTATGTGCACCTATATTGCATCACACGTCTAAGATCTATTAAGATATAACTATCCTGGGATGTTTATAATGGCTCCATCCTGAGATGATATGATGATATGCTACGTATATCTATGATATGGTACAGATGAGAATCTACATACAAGAGTAATAAATTGGGTGTTTATATAAGCAGAAACTAGCAGAAACTGGAAAGGCAGTCAGATCCAAAAGGCCCTGCCTTTCACAGGCAACTGAATACGTGGGAGAGTCAGCAAGGCTCTTTTTGCACTGATATCCCCACGGGGCTGAAGTCTGTCTGCATTTATCAGCAAGGAACTTTTCTGTGAGTTGCCATATCCACCAAGCCAATCCCTACTGTGATTACTATGTAAGTAACTCATGAAACAGATTGGTTTATACTTGATTTGATATGAATGATAGTGTGAACTAAGGACATTTAACATTAGAATTGAAAAACATAAATGCTTCATAAAAGAACAGAGTATGTAACCATGTTTATATTACAAAAGGATTACATGTATCAGAACAGATCTCATTACAGATGATGTACATCCATCTGTCTGTTTATCTATCTATGTATGTCTATCTCTATATAGTTTATAGCTTCCTTACATTTGAATCACAATCTTCACATTTCAAACTTGTCAAATACTTACCCTTTTTGAAGAGATTTCCATAGAAATAATAGGAACTGGCACCTAGAAAATAGGAAATATTTCCTTGCTTAGAAAAAATAGTATCTTTTTGCTATGACAATAAATTAGGTAAAACAGTGTTGATTATATTCAGTTTGCTACATACTTTGACTTTCTTTAAGTTCTGATGATACAGAAAGATATGAGGAAATTTGGACTTTCAGAAACATTGCTTTAAAAGAGTTTATTTAAAAACAACCAGCCAACACTTAATTCAGGATTATTGGAGCCACAGGAACACTACAATTTCCCTGTCAAACATGACATTAGCTCTTGCCACCACTGAATCTCTTTTGTCCTACTTGAGAGTGATAAGTGGAGTGTTCTTTATAACAAAACATTCATTGAAGATAAGATAAAAATAGCAGGAATTCCTTCTTTTTCCATTGTCCTTTGTGCCCTCTGCTCAGATTTCCTGGAGCAATGGCAAGACATAGGCACCAATAGGTCTATTGGAAACCGGTTTTATAAAAAGGGGTAATTTCTGTGATTTTCCCCCCAGACAACAAGTCAATAGTTACACTGCCTAAATGCAGGTACCAGATTTAAATATCTAAGTTTGGATGTTAGATTTTCTCTATTGTTTCAAGTAGGTTAGCCTCCTACTTTATGTGGCTAACGTGACATGATGTGGATACTCACTAAGAGAATTTCATTATATTGCTTTTGCCATATAGCAAATACTGAGCTTTAGCTATGGGTTATTCTTAAACAGAATGGAGTTTTGCCTCACTAGGACTCAGGTTTGCCCACTGTAAAGGCAGATTAACTCATTCACTCTTTCTGAGGATTGGGTTTTTTAAATCTGGACCTCATTTAAGTTTCCAAGATTATAGTAGGCACATTTTTGTGCATGCAGTTATACTTTTTTAAATACTTAATTGGATATGAGCGAAAATTAAAAAAAATGCAATAAATTTCTAATTAAAAGACACACTACAACCTCCAAGCATGTAAACAGAAAGACAGTAGTCCTGGTTTGCTGCAATATGCTTCAGTACTTGAGCTATAACTCCACCTCAGAAAAACTTCAATTGAAAACGAAGATTTCCTGTCATAAAATAACTAGATCATTAGAAAATTTCTTGCACATAACTATTGCGTATTTGACTATCCTCAGATTTTTTAGACATTTTAATTCTGCAGAAAATTCAAGACTTGTATATATGCTTCATATACAGCACAGTTCACCTTGAATACTTGCAGCTCTTCAAGAATCACTTCTTCCATTGATTCTGACTCTTGATTGTAAATTGTAATGACTTTCAGCACAATTCCATTATCTTGGAATAAATTTAAAAAGAAAAAAAAAAAAAAAACAACAAAACTAAAGGTTATAATTGGTGGAAACATTTATATGGCCTTCAAATACATTCAATGATTTCTTCAAACTGATAATGGATAGAAATTTATAAATATGTACAGGTAGTTGCATATTGCTGTTATTGATGAGGATTCCTACTCTTAGAAAATAAACACATGTGACAATTTGTCCCTGGAAAATAAGAGTCAACTGAGACATCCCTGAGCTATACGATTAATTGGCTCATAATTTTTCAAACTCTGGGTCATAACCCGTTGGTGAGCTGCAAAAAGATCAAAGAGGATGACTGTTTTTCAGAAAAAGAAGTGAGAGTAGGTAGGAGCTGAGTCCATCAAGGCAAGGGAGTGTAAAGTAGCTTTAATTATAGGATCTGAGTGTTTACACTAGTTAGGAAACTACTAACTATCCTTAATTGCTGGCAGCAGCTCTGTTCCTCCAGGCAGGAGTACAAAAACCTTCAAGGGTTCATTGTCCACAGTTCTCACCCTGCTCTAGGGAAACACCGAGCTGCTGTTGAGCTGAAGGTGTTAATCAAAGGAAGATGAACTGAAAAAAGCTGCACATTCAAAAAGTCTAAGGCACACTGGAGTTTAGATTTATCAGCCTCTCTATCGCTACAACTCTTTCAGAAAATTAAAATGCACAAATAGCATCTGGTCTTCCACCACTTCAGCATTGTCTTGCTGACTATTATTAGAATAGTCTTGCTTTCCTTAATTTGAAAATCTGTCATCAACAATGGCAAATATCACTTCCTTTCTTCTGTTACTTTCAGTCGTCTTTGATTTACAGGGGAAATATTAAGCAGACAAGCACCGGGAAAAATGTTCAGCAAAAGATCAAAGGTGCAAACATAAAGAGGAACCATTAAACTGGGGTCATACACCACTTCTCAAAGAGAATATGTAACCAAAGGCATCCATTTTGTGATGTAACAGTAAAAAGAAATTGCATTCTAAGCTCTGATTTTCATAAGTAAGTCCCTCTTTGAATCCTGCTGACAGACAAGTAAAAGTTAGCCCTGACGTTCAGACTTTACCTTTGATGAACCTTTCTAACCTGCACTGCTACCCTGAGGAAACTTCTGCTCAGCTGTAAGACCCTGTTTACTTATGTTACACAGCAGGTGTTGGACTTGGATAAAAAAATGTTAACCCTTTCTAACATTATATTGCCAAGAGTAGCAGTGAGTTTTTGTATGGGAGCTTTGCCAGAGCAGAGATTGCAGGGTTCATTTTAGAGTTTCTAAAGCCCAAATTCCTCTGCTGGAATTTCTTGTCACCTGAGATTAGACATCTCAAGAAGACTAAGCAGCTGTTGGGTGCCAGTCCAGCTCTAAAGCACACACTTAAGTCCCCTTGGATTCAACTTTGCTGAACAGAGGAATTGTGTACAAAAGTATTTGATATAATAACTCAATCACAAATGCAAGTGGAAAATACGAAAAATCTAGGCACCGTTATAAAATCTGCTGTACAGAAATAAGTGATACATGGCACAACGTTTTACAGACCACACTAAGTCCAATACCGAGACCATACTAAGGCCATTTAAAAGCTTAGAAAACAGCACTAATAGAAACAAGCCTTTACTATTCTACAAACATGTTTCTTTCAAATGTTCTCAACACTGAAATGTGCTTATCAGAGGAATTTCATTAGTAAAAAATAATTCACTCTAAATGCTTTCCTAGACAAAATGGTCAAAATGATTTGTGATACCGTTCCTGTTGTTAAATTGATAAAATGTGAATGTATGAATCCTTGGATTTTTTCCAGACAGATTAGATGCGACTGAAGTCTTGTCTAGTTCCAGGTTTTCCTCTTATTTTCTTAAGTTTTCTTATTTTTCAAATACAGTTAGAATGTGTTTTTTTCTCTGGTTGCTTAGATTTAGGGCAGGGCTATGATATATTTTATCTTAATCATATTTGTTCGGTAGATGTTTAAAAATCCTCCTTAAACAAGCTCTGTGTATCTTATGAAAATGGCACAAAAAAAAGACAAGAAAACTTGGCAGAAAACTTCTAACCGTTTCTTTTTGAGAAACTTGGGTATTTCCGCCTTCCTTCCTTGAACTGTGTTGTAACCCAAATCTGGAGGCTGGCAGTTTCTTTTTAGCAGTATCAGCTAGACTTGTGGTCTCCAGAATTGGGGAAAATAAACTGTGGAATAAAGCCAGTAACTTGAACTGATATTTTTGAAAATTATATCACCTTTGTTTCTCTCAGGTCTCTATGAACTATGCTCAGATACATGATTGTGTTCTGAAGTTTTAAAAATAAAGCCAGTTGTTCAGGAATTTAATTTAAGGTTCTTGTTTGGGAAAAGAAAAAAAAAAAAAAAAAAAGGAATCCTATACTTAAGTTTCTCTTCTTAGTCTTTAAATGTTTCCCTACCATTATTTTTCTATATAATGTTATCAGCACAGTGAAGCACATGCCTAGAATGACTAACCTCTTCTGTAAGGTGAAGACTGGCACAGTCATGCAAAGAATGATTGTTAAAAAGGAATGTTGTATTGATTTTTTTTTTTTATTTTTGGACTATAGACAACTTAATTTCATTCATCCTGGAGGTAAAAAACACTTTTAAATCAATTGTCTTCCTTGCTTTCTTTAATTTACCTGTGCCAATGAACAAAACATCATATTGCCCATCTTCAGCTTCCACTCTGTCCACTGCTATTTGTTTAAGATTGTACCTTCCATCTGTTTTAACTAGTATTGGTCTCTTATGAACAGGCTTGATGGGCTGATACATCAGTGGATGACTCCTGGCAAAATGGACAGCTTCATCAGGATAGTCTTTAGTGGTAGTGTACAGACCACCATTCACCTTGCTGGCACACTGCAAAAACATAAAATGTAGATTATCCTGAAGGTTTGCCAAATAAATTGTCAGAGACAGGTCTTGTTTGCAAGTCTACAGAAAACCTGGCATAAAAACAGGCACAAAAGACTACAGTAGGAATCGGGACAGTGAAGTCTATACATGTGTGGATTATTAATCATGAGAAGCCAAGAAAGGGAATGCTGAACAGAGCCTTGGCATTGTCATGTTTAGAAAGAGGGAGCTCCTTCCTCTCTGGCATACTAAGAGCAGAATAAAGAGTGACACTTTTAGATTTTGACAAAAAACATAGTGCTTATGTCTTCCCCAAATTCATATTGAAGATGTAATCAAAATGGCAGAGTTAGGAGAAACGGGTTTCCTATCCCAGTAGAGACACAGCCATATAAAATCAGCAGAATACTAATGCTTGAAATCAATCTCTAGTCTTATTACTTTTGATTGATTGCAAAATGTATTACCATAAGAAACTAAGCACACTTAAAAATTATGCCAGCAGCAAGAGTAATTCTTGATCTCAGGCTTTCTAACAGTATTACATTTGATTCTAATTCCTAAGTCACAATGACAGTATTATATACCACAGTTTAGCTTGAAATACCAATGTTTGCGTTCATCAATCTACTGTTTTGCAAAGCAAATAGACTTGATGTCAATGATTGATTAGAAAAGGCTTACTCCTTCGGTCAAATGTGCAATTAGGGATAATTTAATGTGTTAAACAGAGAAGTTAATTTTAGGATGCTTTGTGAAGGATATAGTGTTCCCTAACTGAACATAGATTCTACATTTCCAATTTGCTTCATGATGTTTAATTGAAACCATTTATGATCAAGCTGGAAATATCTCAGTAACCATTTACTTTCTCCAAATATTCATAAGACAGTGTGGTTTTAAGAAGCATTTCAAGCAAAGCCACAGTAGCAGCCTTTCCCTGTTTAAATTGGATTTTTCAATCAATAAAATGAAATACAATACTCTTTATGTTTACTGGAAACAGTAATTTTAAACTTGTGGTCAACTGTAATTGACAATAACAAACTCCTGCACTTGTCAAGTGGGGCAATGTTTGTTTCCACTTTTTGGGCTTAGCTACAGGAAAGTATTTGTTCAGTGTTGACTTTAAAGTAATTGTCTAATCAACCTAGTGATGGAATTTCACCGGCTGTTTGCAATAAAGAGACAGAGTTGGAGCATGAAGACAGGCTAAGCCTCTGCTTTCCATGCACTGCACAGCATATCAAGTGAATAGGCATTGCCAGGTTCCCCTTGCAAAGTTCTAGCCCTGGAGAGATTTAATAAAAATAATCCTTTACAGGCTTTTCATTTTTAATTAAATAAAATCAAGTAGTCTAGAAAGGAAACAGTAGATGCAGCCGTCTCTGGAGTCTATCAACACCATTTTTGAGGTAACTGATGTCATTCCCTGAAGCATCACAGTCTAAATGCACTAAAAGAATCAGCAGAACAGGAGCAGAGATTATGGCAGAAGCAGTGCTTCGGGCAGACTTCAGAGCAGGGGATCGCAGAGTCTGTCAGAACCTGTGTGACTCTTAACAGTGGTTTTCTGTTTATTTAGCTTTAAACTCTACTCTCATTCCTTATAGACTCCATCTTTACCCTAAAGATCAAAGAGTGCTGACTCTCAGAGATGCCTAATAGTAGGTTATTTTTGGCTTCTTGTCATTGTCACTCCTGTAATGGGAAAGGTAGTGGGATTCAGCTTACCAATATGCTGACCTTTTCTTTGGAGTGTGAAACCTAACACTGTGGACTACAGCCTGAAACATGCTTTCTTCTCATGATACTGGAAAAGCGTTGGAAAGACCTCTAAACTGTGCCCTAACTGAGCAGCCAAAAAAGAATCAACTAATCTTCTGTTAGCTGGCAGAGCCAGCTACTTCAGCCTCTGATGTGCTCTGCAACATATAGAGACAAACATCATTAAATCGATTAACACCCAGGAAAGACCTGGTTCCTCAACTAACTTGTTCCATGACATTGGGAAAATTACTTGTGCTCTTCTTTTATATCTGTTTCAACTCCCATGCCTTGCCTATTGGGGAGGCTACAATCCAGTCTGACCCAAATGTGGCCCTTCAGAGCCAAGGGAGAGAAGCATTGAAAGCGAGTGGAACTTAGGGCAGCCTTTCTGTAAATCATTGTCAACTTTGCTGAAGTGCTGGCTCAGTGTTCTCTCCTTCTTGCCAAAAAAACCACCATTTAATCTTCAGTGCCAGGAGATATCAATGTAATGACTATAGTCATTAATACTGAATTCATGCCTGTGTTTAATGCCAGTCCAAATAACATATGTGAGGTGTTCTACTGTGTGGGAAAAAAAATGAATACTGCTTAAAGAACTTGGACCATATCATCTTTGTAAAATATAGAGCCATTCTGGAATCCATGCATGGTACTGTCTCATTATTTGGTAAAACTGCAAAAACTGTAAATTTGCTATACAAAATGTCAAATAGGAAACCAATAATTTATTTGAATTCACCCATTTTGCTCAAAATGTGACAATTTACTTACTTGATTTTCTATCCTGACTCAATATTAATGACTTTGATCTACATCAAACAACCAAAAAAACATTTGGTATTGATGTCAGCACTGCTACAGTGGTAGCTTATTGGCCAAGATGGTCAAATCATATTCATAATGTTTAAATCCTAGATAATCTCTTTTTTGGAGCATCTGCTTCTGCATTTTGACTTATGTCTCTAACCCCAAGAGAAGCAGAGGAAAACATTAATGTAAAATGAGAGCGGACATGCATTCGAAATCGTAGTACAGGGAGAAAGGCTGTACTGGCATGGACTAGATAAGCTAATAGGCCTTTTCAACTCTCATTCCTGCGATTCAGTGATAAATGAATTGTATGCAATGTTTATTTCTGCAAATGATTGCTTTTAGTATAAAAGAGAATATTAATTCAATTAGCAAAGGAAAAACAACACTGAAAATGCTTCAGCAACTGTTTATTCCACCGTTAAGCTCAAGAGAGCGAGCCCCCAGCCTGCGAGAAGATGAAGAGGTGAAGTGTGAAAACTGGGGGGGTTTAGCCAAACAGCTATTAGAAATCTCACAGAGTCAAAAATTTGCACAATGCTGACATGATAAGGGGTAGACCTTCAGCGAGTGTAAACAAAAGCAGCTTTGCCACAGATGACAATTGCCATGGGTGGGTAAGTAGTTGTATTCTCAAAGGGTATGGGGTGAAGAAGAAATCCTGGATGTGGTGCTTCTCTGGGTTAGCCTGGCATTGCCTGCTGTGGGGCTCCTCCTGACTTGCAGCAGGAAGGGGAAGGTGAGGGAGGCCCTGGTTGTGCCCCTTCTGTGAGATGGCCCCTGCGATGCCAAGGGCACCCTCAAGCCACACTGACAGGCAGTGAACGCGGGACCACTCTCCTCACCCCCCGAGCTGGGATGTGAGAGTCCTGGCCTAAGACACTACAGTGACAGAAACTTTAAAAAGAGAGTGAAACAGGACAAGGGTTTGAGATTAAGATTATTTGTGATACCTTTGAGAAATCAGCATAGAAATTAGGAATTCCTTGTAGAAATTAATCACCTCTCTCTAAGTAATGAGTTTGTGATTTCCTCTAGAATTTCTGTTTACCAAATGAAACATCTAAGCGCCAGGCAGCAACAACTTTCTACACAACAGCACCTTTATAATTGCAGAGTATGCTACAATAGTTGCCAGATTAATTGCATTTTCAAATTATGTCTTGTTTCTTTTCTTCACTTAATGTCCATTGGAAAAAAAAAAAAGTTTGTAAACAAACTTGTGTAAAAAGTAGTGAAAAGCATGAGTGATTTTGCTGAGTTTGGTTCTTTGCAAAGTTGTTTTAATATTTCTATATTCTTTGTAAAGGGTACAGAACAAGAATGTTAATAAGCTCAGGAACCTGATTTGAGGGTAATAAAATCTCACTCTGTGATGTCTGAAAGCAAACCAATGATTTGTGAGGATGCTAGACCATCGCTTCTAGAAAGAACCAGTCTTGAGAGAAGGACCTCAGGTGATGGAGGATTTACTCCTTATCTACAAATGTGATTATTCTGATTAGTTACTTTTGTTAAAATCTATGTCTTATTTCTAACCTGTGCACAAATCTAAATTATAGAAATATTGAAATTTGATCCTTTTTAAAAAAGAGATGGAAAAAAGGAACCAGAACCACCTGATCCTGAAATAGGGGATCATCTTTGGGTTTTTTTCTTCCTTTAACACTTGTTAAATGCCCTGGTTTCAACAGGCAATAGAAGGAAAGTGAATTGTCTTCTATAAGCTTGTGGTTTTTTCCAGTAATAAGCTCATTTACATTGGAAAATATTGCATGTATCTTAAATATATATATATATTTAATGTAAATATAGGTACATGTTTCTAGTTCATCCTGGCTTTATTTTCTCAAGTTAAGTCAGTAGGGATGATTTGTTCTCCAGAAAGTTCCATCAGAAAAAAACCTCATGGTTCACTCAATGCACTTAAATAAATTTGATTTTTTATTTATTTCTTTGGCAATTAGATTAAAGTTATCAAGGTTCAGATGCAAAAAATATGTCAGCAGCCAAACTTAGAAGAGCAGTTATTCTAGGCTCAAAAGAAAGTGAATTTCCTTCCCAGGTAATGCACTTACTGCTTCTGAATGCAGCATCTGACTCACCTTCTAGAGGTGCCTCTTTCTACCCCTATTGCCTGGGGTCGTAACTTTGGGACCTTAGGACCTTAACGCAAGGTTGCTAAATTCAAGTTCCAACAGGATTTTGAAAAACCTTGTATACTTAATTCCCCTATTTTCTTTTGGGAAATATATGTTTCTAGTACTTGATTAAACTTATGGCTGACTTTTCCAGAAATGCTAGAGTATGTATATATTCAAATAAATATATCCTGGACTGTGAAGTCAGGAAGATTTGTACATTAGCAGCAGTCTGCTTTTTCTTCCTGAATTCATTTACATAGCAAAGCAATGGAAAATAGATTGTACTTACTGAACCAGGTCTAGGATAAGGTACTTTTCCTTCGTATAGAGCCCAGTGGTATTCAGGTCCTTCTTTATGAGCATATGGTCCATTGAAAGCTGCTCGGACACTTGCCATGTGGTAAACACATACAGCATATCCTCTAAATATATTGCTATGAAGTAAAATTCAAAGACATTGTTAAAGCACTATGTCACATTCTGTACATATAATACTGATATTATTGTGTAATTAAAAATGAGTCATCTTTCAACAGTATTCAGGGAGAACAAAATACTTATTGTTTCCTATATGTTTTTCTTATAACTGCTGTGTCCAATGTTCTTTACAAAGTCTTTAATGTATTTATATTTATAACATTTCTCTGAGGAAGCTCTGTGTTGTTATCCCAAAATTTGAAGGTGTGAACACAGGCTCTAAAATACTTGTTTATAAAGACAGAGGAAGTGCAGCAAACTGAACTCAGGTCTTCTATGTCTTTGATCAGTGACTTAAACAGTTAACCATTTTTCTTCTCTAAAATTTTTCCTGCTGCTACTTTAGAAAGACGGGAATCATCCAATGCTGGCTGAAATGAATAGAAGTGTTTTTATATTTAGTGGAATGTTGGTTGGTGTTACTAGTTAGATCATCAAGAGCACACTATGTAGATCAATCCACACAAAAGTACCTTTTTTATTTTAAAATTTTATTCACTTTGTTCCAGAGAAGCAATTCCTTATTTTTTAAAGAAATATCAGTGCTCTCTACAAAGAAATTATCTCTGAAGACTCCAGAAGGTGATCCAGATAATTTTAATTAGATGCCCCCCTTTCTCTACTGGCATGGGGAGCCAGTAGGAAATGCTAGATGCCTGCATCCCTAGAGGACCAGATCAGCCTTGCTTTATTAAAAAAAAAAAGAAAAAAACCCAAAAACCAGGAGAGTGAAATAGTGGCAAAAGCACAGCTGCTTTTCTCTACCACTTATATCCTAAACTAACAGTTGGATCTCCAAGAAACAGGTACTGTGTGCTTGCACTTGAACTAGGCTGCAGTGGAAAAGGAGGCCACCAGCAACATCACAGCTGGTGTTTTAGGCTTCACTGAGAAGTTAGTAGGAATTTAAGCTGCTATCTACTTAAACTTGAATTACAGTGGAGCTCTTAAAGGAAGACAGGTGGCTCTGATAGGCTGCTCTCATAAGCATGCAGGAGTGCATATACTTTGACACTAGGAAATTTTCAAGCAGAGAAACATTTAATTAATTTATGATCCAGATAGACTGGATCACTGAATTAGACTTCAAGCCCCTGAGTGTCATAGAGCAGTTTTTATATTAACAAGGAAGCCCACTGTGAATAGAACAGGGATTAAACTGTTTGCTATTTATTTGCTAAGGGATATTTATCATGCAGCTTCTATCTCTTAAATAGGCTGTTCAAACATTCCTCTGTTGCTGCTATTATTTCTTCTAGTTGTTTACCTTGTAGTGTTGAAGAGGCCAAATATCACTGGATTTTTGTTATCTCGAGTTTGCAGCAAAAACACATCCTCTGTAAAGTTAAAATGCAACGTTATAGATAGCAAACTACTTTTTTCTCAGCCCCAAAAGAGAGACTTCATTACTTGTTAAAAGTGTAACCCTATTTTACTCATATATGCTCTTCAATTTTATGCAGATTTTAAAAGCAATCTTTAAAATCAATGCAATAAATAAAGGCATAATTGATGATAGTCAACTCCATATGTATAGAACTTCATAGACACTGGAAACAAAACACTAACAACCATTCCCTGCTAATGAATACAAGTACAATATTTGACAGTAAGATGTGTTATCATGAAAGTATATGTTTTGTATGGTGGTTTTAGGTTTGTTGCAGTCTAGGATGTTTACCTAATTCATCAAAATGCGTATCAATTCCATTTCTCCCGGGCACAGAGCAAACTAGCCTGGTTTTGAGGAAAGTGCTCCATTTATTCACGAGCATTCGCTGGCCTCCCATATCATTCTGTGTAGAAAGAAACAAATGCTGATGGTAATTTGAATGAGTAAGTCTAGAAGCACAAACATCTCTGCTGAATTAGCTGCTCATTGTATCTTTTAATGTCAAAAGCATGCATTTTCAAACCACACGTCTGTTACTGGTCTTATTTCTCTGGAGTCAGTTTTCGAGTAGGATTGCACTGATCAAGTCCAGGTCTCATTAAGAGCTGTGGGTTTATAAGAACTTTTTAATTCTGTACCGCATCCATGGATAATTTCAACTATACAGCTGTTGCAAAGCTTTTTTATTTCTCATTTTTGTTAACTAGATGTACTGAGTACACTAGCAAAGTTTAGCTTTGCTTTAGGAGCTCGGTGCAGCACACTTGGAAACTGAAGCCCTGAATCTACCTATAGAACTGCTACAGCTGGGGCAAGTCTGAGGCAAGCGTCTACATGGTGTTCTAGCAATTTCTCAACAACTTTAAATAATTCCTGCTTTGCTATGGCTGTCTCATCTTTTTCTTGCTATTGCGACTGTTGGACTGACCAGAAAAGGGGGCATTTAGTACTACTTAGTGATCAGAGTCTGTAACCTTTGGGTAGCATCCTCAAAGCTATGGCCTTACATTCAGGCAGACTGTGTAACTGGCTGTTGAAGGCTCTGTATCAGGCTTGAAAAACTCCTCTCACAACTTCATTCTAAACTACTGAAATTAATTGATTTCCTCAGCTTCACATTGAGGTCTTACAAAAACAGAGATCTGTTTTCCTCAGAAAAGCAGAAATATACAGAGTACGTGCCTCAGTGTTGCAAAACCTGTTACAGCTCAGATAAAACCGTAAAAGCTGGGAAAAAAAAGCCAGTTCTTGAATCACCAGCTGGCTTTTTTTTTTTATTCATTTAATGAAATTTGCATTATAGCATACAGCTGTTAAGTTAATGCCCACATGATAAAGGATTTGGAGTTCTGGACAAGTAGAAGAGAAAGGTCTGTGGGATTTTGGTTTAACCCATGGTTAGAGATAAGACATTCAGGTGGATATATTTCAGAATAGAGGGAACTATTAAAATAATCTATTCAGACATCTATCAGAACACAGGCCAAAGGATTCTACTTCAGATCTTCATGCAGGCTTGAATTCAGAAAGCCAGCTGGCTTTGTGAACATGAATGTCTTAGGCTGCAATTTGGTACTTTGCATACTTTAGATGTTTTAAGTCATACATGAACACTCCTTAAGAAATGTTAATAGGTAGTATGCTGGTGAGCATATGTGACATATACTATACATTGAGGTGACAGAAGTTTTTTAACTTGTACCTTGCTCTTTGCCCAATAGTTTTAGGAATGTATACCCTATGCTTAGGAGGGGGAAGGCAATTTTTTTTCAGAAACAAAATCAGATACTAAGAAATTAACTTCTCATCCTTTCCTTCAATCAAGCAGATGTAGTCCCAATGGGAATAGGAGAGCTCCTCTCATCAGCCTTACTGTAGTTCAATTAATAGAAAAGGAATGCACTCAAACTTCATCAATTGTTCAGAGAGGACCAATTATAGGCAGTTTAATCTGGGAGATCATACGTTAACAGTGCTCCTCTCCAGCAACTGCTCGAGATCTCCTTCCGGTGTGTGGGGCCACGGAGCCAAAAATAGATAGGATCAACACACCAGGAGCATGGCCTGAGTGGGAAATGGATAATCGTGCAGGGCAGTGGATGGAAGAAAGGTCTTTCCTCGTGACTTTTCTGCTCCTTCTGGTAAACCTTATGCCTGACTGCAATAATAATTTGCTGGACAATTCAATCCTTTGTTCTAGTTTCCTATCTGCACAATTTTCCTTAGTTGCTGTTGAGAAGAAGAGAAATGAGAGATGAAATTAAAACATTAATTAGCTACTATTTGTAAAGCACTCTATAGATGGTTGACATTGCACCCCTCCTATTGCTCAGGCATCAGAAAGAGGTTTTCAAAATTTACAGAATCACAGAATAGTTGAATTTGGCAAGGACCTCTGGAGATCATCTAGGCCAACTGCCTTGCTCAAAGTAAGTTGCTTTAAGCAAGTTGCTCAGACCCATGTCCAGTTGGGTTTTTAGTATCTCCAAGGATGGAGGCTCTGGGCAAGCTGTGTCAGTGTTCAACCACCCTGGCAGTAAAAAAATGTTTTCTTACGTTCAGATAGAATTACATGCTTCAATCTGTGCCCATTGCCTTTTGTCCTGTCCAGCTGGCTGCAAAAGCCAGCTGTCTAATAAGATAGCCATCAATCCTCCGCAAATGCAGGTGAGTTGAGTCTCCTCCTTGCTGACAGAATAGGAAGGCAAGAGAGAACGTCAGAGAGGACTGGTGTCTGGGCTGGTCCTGTCACCAGGAATGTGAGGGGACATCAATTTAAGTCAGCTGTGAGAGCTGCAAGAGGCCCTGGACCTACAGCCAATACTAAGGGCGATGGAGCCTTGATCTGAATTGAGAATTTGGATGGTAAGAGAGTCCTGTGGGCAACTGCTATTACTGTTACCACATATCAGCACAAAGAGAGATGGAGTTGAATAACAAATTTCCTGAACTCTGCTCTCTCTCTTAGCAAAATTCAGCTTCAAGCCCAGATTTTGGATCACTTTTGAATTTTCTAATGCTTGAAGCTGTTTACGTGTAAGTTTTTCATTCAGACCTATAACTTATTCTCACATACATTAACAGATGACATATTTGCCTGGGGGAGAAGGACCAAAGAAAGGTGCATGCTTTTTTTTCATTTAGCTGGGGAATCAGAAAAAGGATCTTACCGCACATACGCGTCCCACTCTGGTATATATGGCATGAGTGCTTGTCTCGGCCTCTAATGCTTTTTCAGTAAAGAAGAAATATACTTTGTTATCATCATGGTCTTCATTGTCAGGAATCATGTATGAGCCAACGAATTTTGGTTCTTCAAAAGAAAACAAAAATTAATTGAATTCAAGTTTATTAAAACATTATCTTATTTTTGCAATCCTTAAAATCAACTGGTAGCAAAGAAAAAAATAAAATTAAAGAATTAGGGATCTGTCAGTCAGAGAGCTGTCTAAGGGGATTAAGGTGATAAAAACAGGAAAAAAATCTATTTTTTTGCGGGTGGGTATCTATAGAACATGTGGAATACATTAATGTCAAACTATTTTCATAGCTCCAATTTACAAATCAATATTCCTTTGTACACGTGCAAGAAAAAGACCTTTTTCCAGTCCTGTTCTCTGGGGTTTATATATTTTAATTTGGATTAGGCTAAAACCTGGTGCTAATATTCACATAACAATCTTTGCATGTTTGTATTCACATACAAACCATGTGTAGGAATGTCAACTTTGGTCAAGCAGCCTTTTAGATAAAGAAAAAGCTCTGGTAGTTCAGCTGATGGATGTTATATGAACATATATGTTCATAGACAGAAGATGCATTGTGTCTCTTTGTCATGAAATAAAAACCTAAATGTTTCCTGTTTTGACATTTTGCTGCAAAGTTGAAACCTACGTTCAGACTTCAGTCCATGCCTGTATATTTTTAACCCCACACCAAGCAGCGCTGTGAATGATTTAATCTCACTGAGTTGTAGCAAAGTTTTTACAAGTTCTTTAAATGAGAATGTCATTCATACAATTAGTATGGTTTCTTAAGAAGCAGTGGGTAATGTAAATATTTTCTAACTTCCTGTTCTCTATGAAAACAGTCATTGCATTTTAAGACATGGATACAGCACTTGTTGATTTTCTGAAGTTTTTAATATACATTTAAAAATATTTCCTTTCTGCAAATTTAAATTTCAAGTATAGATACAATGAAAAGCAAAGTTTGAGACCATAATTTAGAGACTTTTATATTTAAAATAATGAAATCTTCCAGAGAGAAGAGAAGAGAAACTTCACTTGCTTATTGTGAACGTCCACCTGATACCATATATACCCATATATAGCCAGTCTAAACACTCAGTTCAGCAAAGCTCTAAGTATTGGACTTAAAGCATATCTAAGCATGTTCTAAACTTTCTTTTTTTTTTTAAATGAATTTAATTCAAGTCTGAGATCAGATTCATGTGGGAAGAAGTATGCAGCAGAACTATTTTCTCTCTCCTGATTCGGGAGGAAACTGCTTTGAAATTTGAAAGAAAAAACTTCTATGTCCTTTCACCGAAAAGATGATGCTCACTATATGAATCAACATAAAAGGCAATTATTGACTCTCCTTGCCAAATATTAGCAGTAATTATGTCACTGTTATGATGAAATATTGCAATACTTTTGGAGCAAAACAAATCAAGATTCTGATTCACAGAAATTTCAACACTTTGAAATTCAGTTACATTTCACATTGAAGAGTATGAAACAATTTCTAAATTTCCCAGCACATGATTTTTCTCAATATTTTTCTAGTAGAAATTTTAATTTTCTTCTTTAAAATTACCTGCTTTAACTTTTTATTTCCTTTAACCGTATGGTCATTGCATGTTTATTATTTTGCGTTATTGCATGACATCTCTTTACTACACAACTTGGTGAAGATTGAATTCTTTTATTGCAACATAAATTTTCTCATCTAGAGAGAGAGTACTGTGTTTTAATTAGAAGATCCCATTAATTAAATAGCGAATTTTAAAATATTATTTTAATTATATCTGGCATATCATGAAATAGTATAGAATATCCGGAGTATAAATTAAAAGCAATTTTAAAAGTGAAAAATGAAGGACTTAAAAGTTCCACTTGTGAAATCCAATATGTAATCAAAGTAAAGATTTCAATATGATCATCCTGGGAGGAGGTTCATGAAAAACATTTTCATTAAAAAAATTCATCTCCAAATGGATATACCTAAGCATGAACAATATAATTTTAATTTCTGGTTAAACAGAAATTCTCTAGTCATCTGAAACACCTCTGGTTCCATGTTCTTCCTTCTCCTTCTTTCCATACCTTTCAACAGGTGCTCACTATCAGGTTCAGTTCGGAGATGGGCCATGCGATTCATGGTGCGAAATAGAGCAGCATCTCTTCCCCAGTAGTCACTGTAGAGACCAGTAAAAAGTTCACCACCTGCAGACCATAGATTAAAAAACAAAACCAAAACAAAACAATTTGGTAATGCTCTACTTATTCATTTCATTGCATATGATAGGAACTGCATTTTAAACATGACTCATTAGTATTTGCTTAAATTCAGCTAAGAAGACGAGTCAATAAGTTACACATAGTCTAAAGAGCATATGGACATTGTTCCTACTAGCACTGCAACATTTACAGTTGGAACAGCATGAGGACATGAATTTTAAGTTTCATTCATGGGGTTGGCCTCATTTTCAAAACTGACTTAATGACTTTGGTATAGATTCACACACAAAACATGAAGGCATTAAATTAACATCTAACCACATCTGCCACAATAACATCTGCCACATCAGGCACCTAAGTTCAAAGATCTCGCTGTCATTCTGTTAGTGCCTGGCCCTAGAGACACCTACTGTTTGTCGGCACCTAAATTTTCACCAGTGCAGAGACTCTGACCAGTGGTTTGCTTCTGAGCACTTCCAGATGCACCCTGGTCTTGCTAACGAGAAGCAACAAATTGCTTGGTCCCAGAACTGGAAGGGACATGTTGGGTTTATGAGGAGCCAGAAATAATAGGAGCTAGAAAATGGGATGAAAACGCAGCAGCAGGTTTCAGAGGATGCAGTGCTAAGGAAAAGAATAGTGATAGCTGCAGCAAACCACTGATTTGGGCTACACTGCATGGATACACCTCAAGGCTAAACCATACCTGAATCCACAGATTGGACCTCAAACAGGGGAGTGTTTCCTGAGCATAGTTACCAGATTTGGCTCTGTGCAAAACACGGCTGAAAAAAAGATTCATTAGTGAAGCACATACTGAAACTACTGGAGGCTGGATGCAGTTATCTCCCCAGCTGGAGAGTAAAAAGCAGTACCTACTACCTTAGAAGTGATTTCTATAAACAAGCACATGTTTTATTAGGCTGAGGGGGTTTTCCAGTCAGCCTACTGGAACTGTTCCACTTTATCTGAAATAACTACAATTTGGGTATACTTGCTGGCTGAGGGGCTTAGGTGTTCAGTGGACAGAGGAAAAAAGCCTATTTTTCTCTGGTCCAGCAATAACTTGTTTTCATATTCTTAAAATATTCACTAGAGTAGGGACAGAACCTGAGATCTCATCCATCCTGCACAACGGGTGATGAATATTTCCTGAAAAATTTATGGGAACAGAAATTGGGTCCCATTTTCAAAGGATTTAGGTGGCATTCACAAATTAAGCAAGCATAGGAAGATATTAGAAATAATACACTGATTGCCAGTAACTGTTGAAAATCTATATGTAGCTGGGTATAACTGGATCATACGTATGCTCAAAAATCCAGCCTATGTCTATCTGACCCATCTAAAATTGTGATATCGGATGTATTTTACTTTAGTGAAATACCAGCAATAATTCCACCTTTTAGTTATGCATGGGCACAATTCCCCTTAACTGACAAAGCATTAAGAGTAATATATTTCATATCCTTGTGGACTTAGATTAGAAGTATTTTAGACCCAATTTAAGAAGCAGACAATTATTGTCACTAGGTGGCATCCGTATGTTAGAAAATAACACATCAGGAATTAAACTGCACAATAAGAGAGAAATAAATTACTTCCAGTTCATGGCTAATCTGAGTGGAGGTTTCAGTGACACGGCTTCCTACCCCCTAATCAAAATAAACATGACTGATCCATTCAAATAACATTTGCTGACATTTATAAAGGATTTTAGAAAAAGCAAGAATTTTGCTTGCTTGTCTCCCTCAAAGTGTGAATTTTGTTTCTCTTAAGAGATATATATGAATTGAATGGTACCATAACTCTGAATAATGACTCTGAAAAGTTTATTGTTTGGCAGCTGGGGATGGTTCAGAAACCTCTGCTGATTTGGAGCTGAGCATAGTTTTGCCTTAGGCTTCACCATATAAAGAATGAATATTGCCTTGTAAAATACATGGTTATGATTTAGTGTAAAATATTGGCAAGTGAAATGAAAGGTAAGTATAAATTATAGCATCAGTAGGAGTTAAGGTTACCCAAAAGTAATAGAGAGCTTTATTTTTTAAACAACACAGAGCTGCTTAAACAACAGTATTTGCCAGTGTCTGAATAATGTTCCAAACAAGCTTCACAACCGTAATTAATGAGTTACATTAGTCATAAATCCCCCTTTAAGAATTCCATTGGAAAAATATCTCAGACTGGCTGGTTTTTTTTTTTTTTTTTTTTTAAATTATGGTGAAGTGTAATACAAAACGTGATGTTTTTATCCTTTCAACACCATAGTGAATCTTGGAAAATGCATCAGTGCAGAGTAAATGATTCGTCACATATTGTTAGTGATCAGGATTGACATTTATAAGTCCAGATGTTCAGAAGTTTGGATATGAAGCCTATTCCTTCTGTCTGACATAGGTATAAAATGTTAGTATATGTAACTAACCTATGGTATAGCATTTTACCATATACAGAGGAAGTTATCACTGATTTTATCTGTGAGATCTTGGGGGAAGAAAATGCAAGTACCAGTCTTGGATGGATACTGTTCCACGAAATATATTGCACAGATACAGAAATTATATCTGATTTTTACCTTGAAGTGTTACTAAATTAAACATAAGACAAGTATCAAGTGTGAGCAGACAGGTCATCTCGCCTAAGGAAAGCGGTGAGACAATACTGACGAGTGTGACCAGCAAAGATCTTAGCACAAGGACATTCAACATAATTTTGAGATCTTTTGCACTTTTGACACTAAGAGGAACTTCTCTTTTCTTCTTCAACAACCTTTTGCACATCCTTTAAATATACGTTACAAATTTTGAACACTGCTAAGTTATTACAGGTTCTGACTAATTTTAGATTTAGAGACAACCTAAGGTTGAGGTTTGAAAAACCCTGGCAAGATTTCTACTCTTTTGTCCTCCATTGAAAAACTACTACTACATATCAACTCACTCCTGTCTTGGTTGCAGTGTTTTATACTGCTGCACATCACATTGATAAACCCGTATCTTCCAGTGAAAATCAACTGAGCAATTTCACAAACCTTCACCACTCCTCCCCTCTTCCAGTCTAACCTCAGCTTCACATGTATTTTACAAATTAATTGCTAAAATTTAAGTTTTAACACAGGCTGGTTAATCCTGCTAAAAGAAGAATAGAATCTTTCTTCTTTCCTTATTTAAACAAACAAAAAAAATCCCATGGACCTCAAAAAATAGTTTTAGCTCAAGTGATACATGCGTATTTTTTAGCTAAAATTCTTTTCAAGCAAATACATCAAAGTTCAACTGGGATTTAAAAGATACCTTTATTTTTTGCCCTTTTCTCAGAGCAAAATATTAACAAAACCAAATACAAAATTTTTCTTCTAAATCCAAGAATTCCTAGATGACAACCCTTAAAATAAAACAGATTGAAGCATGTGATTTAATTTTGAAAACTTAATATATACAAGGGATTTCTATAAATAGGCTGCTTCCACCTTAGAAGTGGGCTTCCTTCATTTGTTATTGGCATGTTTTGTGTACCTGCTTCAAATTGGAAGGTAATGCAAACATAAGCTATTATTCATCAGTAGTCCTTTTTGTGTAAAATCCCCATTATGTCACTTTCTACAAAGTGGACTAGCTCTGTTATGAATAAAGGAGTAGAACGTAAGGAGTGGAAGATAAGCAGTACCTTTCATGCATTTCTTTGACTGTCAGCCAGTTATTACTCACTTGACAACTAAAATCAGAATACCAATTCACATTTTTAGCAGGTGATACTTTTCACAGTAGGAAAAAACAAATTCAGAAGAAATTAGCTATTGCTTAACTGGTAAACTTTCTCTGTATATTTGTATTTTCCGTCTGTCACTCAAGTCTTCTGTTTTGAGAGAAAATGTATTTATTTTAGTTCGTTGTCTAGCATAAAAGAAAAGACACAAATACATGGAACTGTTTTAAAACTGTAAAACCAGAATCAGAATGGATTCCCTGGGTAGAAAACTATATTCAAATGTAGTTTAGGTTTTTCACCACTTGCTCGTGATACATTGCAGGTAACAAAATATGAAATAATTTCTCAGCTTTCAAGAGCTAGTGTGGTCTAAGTTAATCAGTGTGCATGATCTGATATCAAAAGTAGTTCTGGCTATTGAAAGCAGATGGGAGCGTTCATTAGAAATAGAAGTCCCAAAGTTTTATATGCCTTTTATCTAAACATACACATTTTATTCAGCCTGATTGCCATCCTACATCTATTCTGTTTCCTGATGCTGACAATAAATTGCTAAAAGTTAATTGTTCATGAATTGAGGAATTTGTCACAAGCTACTTTACTACTGGGTCAGATAACCTGTAATAACTTATGACAGCATGGATACTTAGTCTTAAAGACAAGTCATGGACTATTGTTTTCTTGAAGTGGGTATTTTAACTGATGTGTTGAAATACGTGAAGAGATACAGAACAAGAGATTCTCTTTCTTCCTAAATTAATCTAGCTAAATCTGGTTCTAATTAGTGATGGTGCAAATGATCTTTCAAGATCAAGATTTTAAAAGCTTTTAAACTTTTATCAGAGGTATGTAAACTTTCCTTGTTAGTCTAATCTTCACTGTTAGTCGATAGCCACGCTCATATAGGCTGCTGTGTTAATGTGAGTTGCAGAGGTGGAAGCAGGTGTTGAATTGTTTAGTTAGGAAGAAAAAGATGCTGGGATGTGAAAGCCTTTACTAACAGGTTTGCACAAAATCTTTTCAAGGACACGCACATTGGCTGAACCTACATGGGAGAATGGAGGCAATTCTGGGGTGCAGGCTCCAAGGGCACGCTGACTCCATACCAGGAGCGGATTTCACTTTCTAAGAAAATTGGTGTGCATGAAGAAGAAGGGAACCTCCAAGCATTGGAGGAAAGACTGGAAGACCAGTCCTGGAGGGTGCATGGTGTAGCTGTCATCTCCTGTCATGGGGTCATGGCCACCATGATTTGGAGTCAGGGCTCAGCTGAATGAAAGAGCATCCCTTCCTTCAGGGCGCACTTGGCATTAGAGGTCTCAGTCTCATTTTCAAATGTCAATTAAAACATTATTTAATATTCATTGTGTTTGCATCTATGTCTTCTACCCTTTTCAAATGGATACTTACAGAGATAAAGGATATACATTCTGGAGCAGCATTAATTCTGTTTATTCTGTAAGTTTTGTGTCTCTGGTTAGTAGAAGCTAGTAGAATATAGTAGAATACATGGAAATACAAACTTCTTTAGGATATTTTTCCTAAGTGTTGGAATTGTTTATTTCCAATAGTATAAAAAGTATAAAAGCATAAATAAAATAATAAACTCTTTGAAGAATTTTGTTATGCTTTTAAAATATCATTTTATGATCACTTGAAATTATAGAATTCCCAATGGAGGCCTAAAAAACAGCCTCTAAATACCTTTCTCAAAAATACCTTTGATGAATGGGTAAAAGTTTGTCTGGTTTTTGGTGTTGTATCAGTGATGTCATGAAAATGTATTATTTTCTGCTGTTAATCTTGCCACATTACAGAATTGTTAGCTTTGTGAGATTGATTTTATAAGTCTTTGTTAGTGGATGTATAAGACTCTGATCAACATTTTTCAGGGAAGGGCTTATTTGATGGATTTCTCTTTCAGATAAAGCTGTGAGGATCCATAGGATCTCCCATAATCCAGGCAAACTAATGAATAAGCCAGAAACACAAGGACTAACCATTAGTCTTGAAATGCTCAGTGGGACAATCTGGCTTCCATTTAAGCAAATAAAATTCACATTGATCTCACAGTAGGAACATGATCAGGTTAATTTATTTACTTAGTCTGTGGAGAGGTTGAGAAGGACTTCAAGATTAGACCATGAGGTTTCAGGCCTACAGCAAATTCCATGGGATGAGTCTTTGTTCCCAGGCTGAGCTAAGACTGGAATCTGTTAAAAACTGTAGAAACAATTTAGAAATAAGGGTGGAAGAAAAGCGTAACAATCTGTGCTTCATGGATTTTGGAAGGTCAGTCAAAACACAGCATTTTTCTCTGATTCTTTCATGACGTCTTAACCCACTAACTCTTAAGAATTTGAGCTGTAATTTTTTTTTAATGGGAATGAGCAATATTTTGAAGAATTGCAGCAATTTGAAAGATTTGTCATTACTGGTCAGGATTCTTCTTGTAAGTAATTTGTTAATGTAAAGGAACAAATAAACATAGCGTGTAAAAATACATCTGTCACTCATGACCAATACTTCTTCACCACCATGGGTGAGATATATCATTGTAGTTAATAATCAGAGATTTTAGCTGTCTGATTTTAAGATATAAACTCAAATGTAAATATCAAAGGGCCCTAAAATCCTCTAACTTTTTTATCCCTGAAAAGTTGAAAGTTTATTTGTTCTCTAGACTTTTTTCTAGCTCTTTCTTTTAATGACTATTCCTTTTGAATGCTCAGTTTTCATCTTATTTATGTTTTCTGAAAACAAACCACTGTGTTACTTCCTAAACGCATCTAGCTTTCACCCTTTACCTGCTGTTCCAGTCTATTTTTAGTCAATGTGCTGTAATATTGCCAAGACTGTGTTTGCTTGATCTCACAAAATGTTTTCAGGAAAACATTATAGAGGAAAAAACATACTACAACTTCAAAGGTCCCAGCCCTATAGTGGTATACTTACCAGCAAGGCACAGAGGAACACTATCTCAACACAACTTTCTGCTACTGCAGGACTTAGACTGACTTCTATTTTTGTAAGTGTCGAGTATAAGATCAACTCTCCTAACAGAGAATCACCAGTTTTGGATAGTTTTTTTAGAAGGCAGCATTGAAAAAAATCTATTTTGATCTCAAAAACTGTAATTTATATAAACAATAAATGCTTGATACAAAAACAGTTAAATTCACATTTTTACAAGATGCTTGTTACTCAGATTACATCTCAGTGGATGAAAAATAATAAATTTTGTGTATTTGTCTCAGTCTCTCTTAGTCTTAAAAGACTAAGCTAGACATATTGCTTTGCTTTGAAGGAAAGCAGGAGATTATTGTTTCCAAAATTACACAACAATCAATTACCTCTTCAGGATGGCACGTGTCATATAACATTTACTCACTTCAGTGAGACACCCTTGCTGGAGTTAATGCTGCCTGGGATGTAATATTAGTGTGGGCAGCACCATGAGGATTAAGTCTGACATGTGGAAGGTTGCAATGGAAGACTGACAACACTTCGGTGTGCTGAAGAAAGAGACTCAGAATGACAGATTGACAGGACCGTGAAGCTTGTGACATAAAGATCATTACCAATTAAGATGGAGGTGAAGGAAGAACTGGGGTCAAAAGGGCACCTGCCTCGTCCTCTCTCAAATTTGTGCGATTCCAGTTGAAACAGATGATCCTTTAAAAAAAAAAAAAATCACAGAAAACAGCGTAAACCCTACAGGCAAACAAAAAAGTCCTTAGAGACAAGCTTTAACTTTGTTATACCTTTGTAATGGATTGACTTCATTAGGGAAAAAACCACAATTACTGTTGCTCACTGATGTACTACTAAAAATTCTCTGGGTTTCTACAAATCATCTTTGTGTGTGCATTGCCCAAAAAGAATCAGTAAAATATGCACTAAAATTGCACTTGCTTCATTTCTGTGGGAGTAGGGAGTGAAGATTCCTCTATCTTTTCTCCAAATTATCTAAACACTAAATAGATATCTAGCCATGGAATGTATTTTCCTCTTTAAACATTTTTTTCCAGTAGTTGTTAAATATATCATGCTGTGTTATCTTCTCTTGGTAGCTTTGAGATGTTTATATCTCTTCTTCATAAAAGTATGTTTAGGAACGGATCTTCAATTATGCTTTGCAGAGCAGATGTAATTGCTGCAGTGGATTTAACAAAATATCAGTATAAAAACAATATTAGCAACTTAGCTTAATTTGTCTGTGTAAGGCTTTAAAGGCTGAGAAAGAATTTACAATTTCAATTTTCATTTGCAATGCTACATTTGTCCCAGCTTTCTCAAAAGAGCCCATTAATGTCTGATTAAAATACCAGGTGAGAGCACAATATTGTTTTAATTTATATACTTATAAGAAAGCATAACACAAAACACGGGGATGGGGGAGAATAAAAGGGCAAATAGAGAGAAAGCTATGAAAGCTTTATAAAAATATGCCACCCAAGCATCAAGTGTGTGACTAGTAAACATTTTGACAGTCTAGGAGTTCCACTTATGTGTAACAGTTTTATTCAAAAGTCTACTGAAATGCAGATTATATCAACATATTGGATAAATGCAACCTACCTGTTCAGTAAACTAATCTCAGGTTCATATTGTTAATATACTAAGGCAAATGTTTTGTGAGGCATACATGTGACAGAACCCCAAATACCCCAGAATTTTGAGGAGGATCTGCCTGGATCTCTCCCTTACAGCAAACATTCTCAAAGAGGTCCAAGAGGCTTTTTAACCATAAAAAATCAGGTTTTATTAGACCTGACTTTTCAGGTATTTATTAGAATAACTCAGTATTTGCACATAAAAAAGCTTGATATAGCTAGACTGGACAAAATAGTGTCCTGGTAGTCCTTATTTAAGTATGTGTAGTCCTTTTAGTCCTTATGTCTTTATAGCAGGTTCTTTTTTCTGCTGTTGCTTACATTCATGTAATTTTGGGGGGCTGTAGCATATGCAGCTTGGTCCCTAGAAAGTTTTGCTTTTGAGAGATACAGAAACCTGATCATGTGTCTGCTTTCTGCAATGCTGTATTTCCCACTCTCCTTCAGATCACTCACCTATGTCCACTCATCCCACCCTACAACCTACAAATCTCTCTCTTTTCCCAAGCAAGTGCAATTGCCCCCAAAGCAAAACTAATGTTCTCTTCTCTTGAGGTAGCTCCACTCATGACAGTTATGCTCTCCTGAAAAAAACATAAAAAGACAAGGAACAAAGAAGCAGAAGAGATACTGACCATTGCATGGGATGGAAGACTGGTAAGATAATAATAAAAAAAAATTTTAGAAGGACAGAAAGAAAAAAAAAATAAGGAAAGTGGGAAAGTTGTAGAGCTGTTAGTTCCCACTCATTGATGAATAATTGAATATTTCTATGCATTTCATTTACAACAGTTAATCTTGAATTTGTCACAAGCCCCTGCCCTTCAAAGCATTATTCACTCCTTAATCCCCAGATCAGCCAAGCTGATCTAGCTATCTTCCATTCCCATCTGTCTAAATAATACATGCCATTTTGCTCCAACTTCTGATCAAAAAGTAAGATTCCCATTAGTTAGAGTGTTTCCATAAAAATGGAGTGTAACCCAGAATGCAGTTCTGGAAAAATAAGACATCTGTTTCATGTCTACTTGAAGCGAAAAAGCCACCCCAAAATAAAAATAGCAAGCAAAAACCACACAAAATTTTGTAATGTTCCTAAAACCCATGAGGTAACAAGGCATTCAGAATCTCACCTCTCCAGAAGCTCCTGTGTTAGCCTAACCCTGGCACATTAGTGCCTGATGTTAAAGCTGATGCAGCAGAAAATAATCATCCTGGGTAGAGATGAGTAGTGCAGGAATATTATTTTCTGCTGTATTAGCTTCAATTGCACATCAGTAATAACTATTCCCCCTCTCATGTTGGGTAAAAGTCAAACAATGAAGAAATATTTCTCTGTGTGTGGACATCTCAGCCCCATTCCATACTTTTCAAACATCACATACCAGGTATTTTTCAAAACTAAATACCATAACATTTTGGGTCAATAGTAGAAAGAAAAGAGTAAGGAGAACTCAGGAAGGGAGAGAAAAACCTTGTGAAACTGTGCAAAAGGACTAGGAAGTCATCTTTGTCATAAAATATTCTCTAATCAGGTATTAAAAATAAAGTAACTCATGAAAAAGTTTCTCTCCTGGGATCTCAACTAAACTATTTGTCAATGCATCCATTAAATAAATAAAATAATAAAAAAACCCCAAGTTTTAGAAAGAAAGATGTAGAAGTAAGTGAAGAGAGAAACTGAGAGTTAAAATTTAATAGCTTTTTCTAGTCGCAACGATTTCTGTTCTCTTTTCCCCACAGTAAAATAAAAATGGACTTTTCTATGAAAGGAAAAAGTAACAAATTTAAGACTGATTACAGAAAAAAACATACTCAGGTAAAGTGATCAGGTGTGGAAACAAAATTATTTTGAAACAATACTTGAAGAAGTTGTATTATCCATACTTCATGGTTTGTAGCGTATGGCTCATATTTCGTCCTACACAGGGAACAGAAAGTGAAATTTTTGTGCTGTAGAACAAAAGATGATCCCACCAGGGCATCATAAACCACACTTCATATTCAGGTCTTCCCCTGGTAAAATGCCACTAATAGACTAGGGAGACTTGACCAGTATGGGAGTCTTCCAGATGATGTGGAATGATTCTGTGTCACTGTACACCAAATTATAGTATCACAGTGAAAAAGCTACCCATTCCCCTGAAAATCAGAATGAAATCAATGGTAAAGATAAACCCATCTCTTTTAACATTCATGACATTAATGTGTTTAAAACAGCTAACTATACGACCATGGCATGAAAATGTTAGGCAGTATGCATAGTATCCTTACGTTATCTACATTTTAACAGTTGGAATTTCTGAATAAGGATTGTAGCTTAAATATATAATCTAATGCTAACCTGAAGCTAGACAAAAATTTGGATTTCAGTGCCAGTTGGAGAAATTTCTAAGTGGATCTCGCCAGTTTTGGTATAAAGCAGGATATTTATCTCATAAATGCTTGCAGATGCATGTAACTGTTTGAAAAGTCACTGAAAATGTAAGCAATGACTCCTCCAAGAGAGATTTTCCACCTTCGCCTTTTAGGAGAGCATACCAAATATTCCATGGTTGCAATAAGTTATTCCCATCACTGGGGCAAGTAACTGAAGATCAGGTGTTAGATGTGTCAGCCTCCACGGGATGCCAGTTTAAATAAAATAAGCGTTACACATTAATAATCAGCTTTGAAGGCTAATACCATAATTCTAACCCTCCTTGCTGTTTGTGACATCGGAATCCCTTGAGAAATGTCAGAGAAAACTGACAGTTTCCTCACAGATTATCCAACACAGCAATTCAACATTGCAATTTATTTTAGAGGCACTTTTCAGTGGTTAGGGTAAAAATTATGCAAAAACACATATGGAGGGCTGGGAGTGGAATTACAAATTTCTCCATGTAGTTTTGGGAAAAGAAATGGGGCTCTGGGTTTGATTTATGATACCTATGACTCAGGAAACGTAATACACTTTCAACTATTATTAAAATAATAATGTTGTTTAAAAAGAAATAGAAGATACTTCCAAGGACATTAAGCATTTTGCCATTAACTTGATATGAATTGATAATTTTAGACAATGAAGAATAATGTAGGCTATAAATAATAATGAAAGAAAAGGTCAATCAGAACCATTAAAATTTAAAGTCTGCATTTAACTTTTGCTGCAGAAAATTGCTTTCTCTAATGCCAAGTGCTGCTTTGCTCTGGTTCAAGACAGCATTTATGCATGTGATTAATCTAAAACATATGCTTACTTCCATTCCTATTCAACAAAGTACTTAAGCCTATTCTCAATGTTAATACAATGGCTGTATCTTTTCACTAAATCAGTGAACTAAATCACTAAACTTAAAAATGTAGAGGCTTTGGTTGGGTTTTCTTATGATATTATTTTTATGAGAAAAAATAATTTGATTTTCTGTAAGGGGATTTTTTTTCACTTTCAATTTTTATTATTTTCCAGGTAACAAAAAAATAAACTGTATGACACTGGCATTTTTTAAAAGGAAACTTAAATGATTTCAGAACCTTCAATTACATGCTTAACTGTGTATGCACATGCTCCAACAGTATAGCCAAGGTCTGCTCTCCAGACCTGTGCCTTTTTGGGGTTGGTACTTTTTTTGGTTGTTTTTTGTTTTTTGGGGGGGGAGTTGGGTTTTGTTTGTTTTTTTTTAAGAAGTCCATGTTACTTATATTATGGGATGGTAAATCATATTTAGAGTATTGTCAGGAGAGACTGTGCAGATTTCTGTGAATATAGTTTTTAACGCTGGCTATACTATACTACTCACTGTTACTGTAACTCACAGGACAAAATTAATTCTTAGCGTTAATGATCTCATAGTTATTCAACCTTAGAGTAAGAATGACATTACATGCAAGAGCTGTTTGTTGTGTTTCATTTAATAGGGTTCATATATTTGAGACTTTTTAAAAGAGAACTGTGAATCAGAAGGTTCACATGCAAAGTGCATTGAATTGGAAAGTGTAAAATAGAGATTCACTGCTTGTGCGAAACTATAAATGTTCTTTTAAAAACCTTAATAAAGCCATGTGGTTCTAGTGTCA